GGTTGGGCGACTCCCCAGCAGTGACAAGGAGGGAACTCAAGTGCCCCAGGGTGCTGGGACCAAGAGCCCCCAAAACCATCCAAGTGTCACAGGTTCGCCGTGCCACGCCAGGATTACAAGCTTCAACAATGTCACACAGAGATACAGTTTAGTTTTGTTTATTTATTTATTTTCAATAGCATGAAGACACAGGCAGACACAAAGTGCAGGAGGTCATACCGACGTGTTTTAGATCCTGCTGTCATCCGAGCTGTCCTGGGTAAGTGATGCCATCTCTCCAATACCCACGTGCCTTGCCCATAAAATGGGACGATGGCACCTGAGGATTCAAATGCTCACCATGCAAGGGTGCTCGGAAGCCCTCAGAAACCCTGGTCTGTTCCTGACTTTTCTGGGAAGCCCTCAGAGACTGTTCTCAAGGGCGGAGAGAGGAGGCCGTCCTTCCCGTAATCGGAGTCATGCGAGGCTGACGGGAAAGCCGGGAGAGGGAAGTACAGGGAATAGGAAGAGCCTGGAGCAGAAGTGAATTTACCGACTCCGGTGCACGGCGACATCAGGAAACGTCTCACCCCAGTGCTGCACGGGCGCCCGTGGATCGCCAGGAGGCCCAGGCTGTGGATCGCTGGGAGGCCCAGGCTGTGGATGGCCAGGAGGCTGCAGCCTGGTCCCAGCATCACTGCTGCGACAGGCACCTCCCTGCCTGGATTCTGCCACGTGGGATTCTGCGTTGCTTCCCACCTTTGTCCCCAGCTCGAATCTCCTTAGGAGCTCCTCTCTGCCAGGCTCGGGGATGGCTGGTGTGCCTGACATGTGGCCAGCGCCTGTGCTCCTGTGGTAACTCACAGCCACGTTCCAGGTTCCAGAACCCATTCCTATTCAGCTTTGTCATGTGGCTGGTGAGGGAGGACCCGGAGGCAGCTGGAGAAGCAAGACCCCCCTGCCCTCTGCGTGTTGCTCTATTTGCTGACGTTTGACGTTCACATCAGCCCTCGTGTCTGTGCCTCCGTCTGTGTGACCTGGGCTTGCGCCGAGTCGAGGAGCACCGCCTGGCCTTTAGATGCCCTACGGGACTCCAGGAGAGGAGGATAAACTGCACGGGGGCCCTGCTGTGACCGTCATCATAACAACACCATGGAGAACAGGCACATTTTTCAATAACATGGAACGATGTAAACACTTACTAACTTTATCCTTGCTGTTTTATAAAATGCAAATGTAAAGTGGCTTAAAAGTAATGATCTTGAAAACATTACACCTCTCAAAGGGAATTTTTTTCATACTCAAGTTTTGGAAAACAAAAGATTGATAATAAAAAATACGAACAGACTGAAATTCTGATATAAGTAACATTTGATGAGTGTCTGCAAGAAGTTTGATTGGCTTAATCAGATTCAAGACACGATTTGTGACCCAGCTATTGGGATCTTCCTTTCAGAGAGATTTTAATTTTAAAAAGTTCACCTGCCAAAAGTCGGCCACGGTGGCGGGCAGCGGTCCCTGGGTGGCGATGTACGCGGGGTTCCTCGGGTCGTGATCCATCTGCGGAGACAAGACCACATGACAGCGGTTAGCCAGGAGGTTAGGAAGCCCAGCGGTTAGGAAACCCAGAGGTTAGGCAGCCCAGAAGCAGAGCCCGGGTTCAGGAGGAGGGAAGGGTGGCGTCTCCTGAGCTGAGCAACACACAACTTGCCCTTTGCTGATTCAAACGAGCACATGGCACAGATGGGGACCCAGCCGTCCCGAGCTGAGCCACCGCGTCTGAAGGCCCAGCCGTCCCGAGCTGAGCCACCACGTCTGAAATGCTTTCCTTATACCTGAGGTTGAGGTTCTAAGAGCGGCATCAACAGAAATGAAGACCAGTAGCCCAAAGAGTGCAGACAGCTGTCATTAGCCCACTCAGCAGGAACAGCCCCATGACATGGATGAGCTTTCCAGCCTGCAAGTGACCCCAGAGCTTCCTGGCCACGGAGCCCACCCAGGCTGCCCCGTGTTCAGGAGAATGAGCCTCTTGCTAGAGACACAGGGCTGGCTGGGCCGAGGCTGAGCTCCAGGCTTTCAATGGAGAGTGTGAACGTGGTTCCTCCAGGCCCCAAGGACAAACTTGCCAGCGTCCTGGGAGAACGAACCAGCGCTACCTCCTGCTTCCCTGCTGGAGTTAACTTGTCGTGTGTGGGGGCTTGTTTTTGTGTATCCTGGAAAGGGGGCATGGGCAGAGCCGGT